GCGAGGCGAACCTGTGTCTTTCGGGCGTCTGCGAGCAGGCACCTTGCGAGCAGTGGAATGCGCCCGGCGAGGACAGCGTGCGCCCCGAGCCTCCCAACAGGCCGGGAAGGAAGGGCAGGGGGGCTTCTTGGGAGGCCCCCAGACGGTGATCATGCGCAGACAGAGGGGCGAGAAGCGGACGTCGCTCCCTGCGAGGCGGGGATCAGTCCATCTCCACCGCCTGGGAGTCGACGTCCTGGTGCCCCAGCGGGCGGTGGATTTTGGACATATTTTGATCCCCGGGGGCCAACATATGTCCATATCCACCGCCTGTGGAGGTCCGCGAAGATCGACTCCCCAGGCGGTGGTTATGGATAAATTCTCGCATCGGACTCCTCACCCCTCGGTCATGTCGAAGACCTGGACACAGGAGGCCGCCAACGAGCCACTCATCCCGATCCTGGCCAGGCCGATCTCGGGCCGCAGGATTGTCCTGGCCAATATCAGTGCAGGTGGATAGTTGTCGATCCCGAGCGCTGTACATCAATTCAAGTAGGTGCTGGCTGTTATGACTGCCTCCGAGTGCCTGTTCAGCCGCTGCCTCCCAGTCACGCCGCCCCGCCCTCACCCTTGCAAGGGGCATGGGCGCGCTAGCGAAGATCCTGGCAGCTAGCCTGAATGGACGGAGCACTTTGGGACCTGATCCATTAAAAGTAGAAGCTTGCAAATCCTGGCTGCGCTAAGGCAGAAACGTGTGTTCCCCAGGCAAGGACAAGGCGCATCCCAGCTGAGGAGACCAATTCGATCCCCTGCTCAGAAGATTTAGAACATCACATCCGATACTGCGCCGCGAAGCACGAGTTGGAGTGTCCTCAGGTCCCTTGAATTCTCCGTCCTCAGTCCTGATGGTTGCATATCTGGGGGCCCGTACCCTAAATTCTCAGACTTCGTGGGGCGTGCCGCAAGTCCCCGCGTGTTCCCACTAGACTTTCCCAGAGGCAAGAAGGCCCCAAGACGGACCAGGAGGGCCCGAAGAGGACTCCAAGATAGTCCAAGAGGCCTCCGAGACAGCCCAAGAATGTCACTCGACGTACAAGATGGCCCCAAGACGGCCCATGAGGTTCGCAAGACGCCCCAAAAGGGCTTCGAGAGGCATCCCACGAGGGCCCCAAGAGGAACAAACACATGGCTTGTGTTGCAGGATGTCAGCGTTCTCGCCGCTTCGGGTTTCCGACGCTCCAAGGCGGCCCAAGACGCCCCAAAAATCGCCCCGAGGCGGCCCGAAAAAGGGCCCCAAGAGGGCCCCCAGATGACCCGAAGGGGACCCGAGACGGCTAAAGAGGCCCACAAGACGGACAAGAGTACTCCCAAGAGGAGGAGGAGGAGGAGGAGGAGGAGGAGGAGGAGGAGGAGGAGGAGGATGAGGAGGAGGAGGAGGGGGAGGCGGGGGAGTAGGAGGAGGAGGAGGAGGAGGAGGAGGAGGAGGAGGAGGAGGCGGAGGAGGGGGAGGAGGGAGGAGTAGGAGGAGGAGGGGGAGGAGGAGGAGGAGGAGGAGGAGGAGGAGAAGGAGGAGGTGGGGAGGAGGAGGAGGAGGAGGAGGAGAAGGGACGAGGAGGAGGGAGGGAGGAGAAGGAGGAGGAGGAGAAGGAGGAAGGGAGGGAGGAGGGGGGCGGAGGAGTAGGAGGAGTGAGGAGGAGGAGGAGAGGGGAGAGGAGGAGGAGGAGGAGGAGGAGGAGGAGGAGGAGGCCAAGGTGATCCCCGAGACCGCCAGCAGATCCCCAGGAGGCCCCCCAAGAAAGAAACCCAAGAAACCGCCGAGAGGCCCCCTAGACTCAGGAATCAAGCTCTCGCCATTCATTTCCTCACGATTTACCTGGGAATCTAGCTATCACTCGAAACTTCCTTGCGAGTCCTGTTGGACCGACGCTCCAGCGACCCGCCCGCTCGAACCGGCCGTCTGGGCGCGCCCGCCTGCCCCAAAGACCGCATCCAAGAGGCTTCTTGGAGGCATCCCAAGAGATCCCCAGAGGCATCCAGGAAGCGTCTGTCCTACAACCCAGGCGCGGTGGCGGGTTGGGCCGAAGGCCACTAGACCTGGGCCCGGCACAGAAACGGAAAGAGCGCTTCAGAAACAGAGACCGAAATTACTCACACCACCGTTCGTACCCGGAGCCTTGGCGTTGAGAGCTTGTTACGTCACCCCTCGCCCTTGGGAACCTTGGTGGTCAGAGATTGTTGCGTTGCCGCCCGTTCCTGAGCCTTGGCTGGGCCTTGGTGTCAGGAACTTGTTACGTCACCGCTTTCTGCTGGGAGCCTTGGTCTTATCAGCTTGTGTACGTCACCGTTCGCTCTTGGGAGCCTTGGTGTGAAGAGCGTTTAGCGTTACCGATCGCGCTTTATTTGGCGTCTCCGGGCCTTCTTGGGAGTCCTCTTGCGGCCCTTGTCGGGCCCTTTTGGAGGCCTCTTGGGAGCCTCTTGGGAGCCTCTTGGGGCTTCTTGGGGGGCTCTGGGGGCCTCCTGGGAGCTTCTTGAGACGAAAGGCTAGACTTTTCGGTTCGTGGTCCCCCTCTTGGGACCGTCTTGGGGCCCTCTTGGGCCGTCTTGGGCGCCTCTCGGGCCGTCTTGGGGCCCTCTTGGGCCGTTTTGGGGGCCTCTTGGGAGCGTCTTGGGCCGTCTTGGGGACCTCTTAGACCGTCTTCAACGCCGCGAAGGCCGAAAAGCCTTATATGCGAATTATCCCGGCAAAGCAACCTAACAGCGATGTGTATAAGCATATCTGGAAGCATTGCCCTTAAGGTTCAAGTGAGAATCCAGTTGTAGAATTCTGCTGTTCTCGTAGTCGCAGTCGCATTCGCAATGACAGTCGCAGTGGCAACGGCCTTAGGATCCAATGGAATCCGAAGGATTCCTAGGGATTCCTAAGGCATCCTTAGGCATCCGTAGGAATCCATAGGAATCCTTGGGAAACCTTAGGAATCCTTAGGAATCATGATTCCTAGGGATTCCTAAGGATTCCTACGAATCCTAAGGATTCCGAAGGATTCGCCTGCCTCGGCCTCAGCCTCAGCCTGCCTCAGCCTCAGCCTGCATCAGCCTCAGCCTCAGCCTCAGCCTGTCGCAGCCTCAGCCTGCCTCAGCATCAGCATCAGCCTCAGCCTCAGCCTGCCTCGGCTTGCCTCGGCCTCAGCCTCAGCCTGCCTCGGCCTCAGCCTCAGCCTCAGCCTGCCTCAGCCTCAGCCTCAGCCTGCCTCAGCCTCAGCCTACATCAGCCTCAGCCTCAGCCGCCTCAGCCTCAGCCTCAGCCTCAGCCTCAGCCTGCCTCAGCCTCATCAGCCTGCCTCAGCCTCAGCCTCAGCCTGCCTCAGCCTCAGCCTCACTCAGCCTCAGCCTCAGCCTCAGCTGCCTCAGCCTCAGCCTGCCTCAGCCGCAGCCTTCAGCCTCAGCCTCAGCCTCAGCCTGCCTCAGCCTCAGCCTGCCTCAGCCTCAGCCTCAGCCTCAGCCTCAGCCTGCCTCAGCCTCCGCCTCAGCCTGCCTCAGCCTCAGCCTCAGTCTGCCTCAGCCTCAGCCTCAGCCTCAGCCTGCCTCAGCCTCAGCCTGCATCAGCCTCAGCCTCAGCCTCAGCCTGCCTCAGCATCAGCCTGCCTCAGCCTCAGCCTCGCCTGCCTCAGCCTCAGCCTCAGCTGCTTCAGCCTCAGCCTCAGTCTGCCTTCAGCCTCGGCCTCAGCCTCAGCCTGCCTCAGCCTCAGCCTCAGCCTCAGCCTCAGCCTCAGCCTGCCTCAGCATCAGCCTGCCTCAGCCTCAGCCTGCCAGCCAGCCTCAGCCTCAGCCTGCTCAGCCTCAGCCTCCTGCCTTCAGCCTCAGCCACAGCCTCAGCCTGCCTCAGCCTCAGCCATCAGCCTCAGCCTCAGCCTGCCTCAGCCTCACCACAGCCTCAGCCTCAGCCTCAGCCTGCCTCAGCCTCAGCCTCAGCCTCAGCCTGCCTCGGCTTGCCTCAGCCTCAGCCTCAGCCTGCCTCGGCCTCAGCCTCAGCCTCAGCCTCAGCCTCAGCCTCAGCCTCAGCGTCAGCCTCTCAGCCTCAGCCTGCATCAGCCTCAGCCTCAGCCTCAGCCTCAGCCTGCCTCAGCCTCAGTCTCAGCCTGCCTCAGCCTCAACTTCAGCCTGCATCGGCCTCAGCCTGCGTCAGCCTCAGCCTCAGCCTGCCTCAGCCTCAGCCTGCCTCAGCCTCAGCCTCAGCCTGCCTCGACGTGCCTCAGCCTCAGCCTCAGCCTGCCTCGGCCTCAGGCTGCCTCGGCCTCAGCCTGCCTCAGCTCGGGCATTCAAAATATGGCACAGGACTGGTTTTCTGGTAACACGAAGATCACGAAGTGACCCACAGTTGGCTCCAGGCAATCAAAATATGGTACAGGAACGGTGTTCCGGGAGCACGAAGAACACGAAATGGCCTACAGTTGGCTCTGGGCATTCAAAATGTTGTACAGGAATGGTGTTCTGGGAACACGAAGAACACGAAGTGGCCTACAGTTGGCTCCAGCCCTTTAAAATATTGTACAGGAATGGTGTTCTGGGAACCGAAGAACACGAAGTGGCCTACAGTTGGCTCCGGGCATTCAAAATGTGGCCTGGGAATGGTGTTCTGGGAACACGAAGAACACGAAGTGGCCTACAATTGGCTCCGGGCATTCAAAATGTGGCCTGGGAATGGTGATCTGGGAACACGAAGAACACGAAGTGGCCTACTGTTGGCTCCGGGCATTCAAAATTTGGCCTGGGAATGGTGTTCTGGGAATGGATTCCTAAGGATTCTTAAGAATTCCCAAGGATTCCTAAGGATTCCTGGGGCTGCACTTTTATCCGGTTCCTTGTCCGGATCCCGCCCAGACCCCCCTGAGGCGTCAAGATGCTCTCTTTTGATCCCACTAGAAACCTATCAGCAAAAGCTCTTAGGTAAAAATGTACGTTTTACCAATAGAAAATCAATGATTTTGGCCTCCTGGCGGCCTCTTGGGACGCCTCTTGGGGGCATCTTGGGGCTTCTTGGGGGGCTCTTGGGGATGGGAGCGTATTGGGGCGATAGGCTCGACTTTTCGGTTTGTGGTCCCCCTCTTGGGGCCGTCTTGGGGCCCTCTTGGGCCGTCTTGGGCGCCTCTTGGACCGTCTGGGGGCCCTCTTGGGCCGTTTTGGGGGCCTCTTGGGAGCCTCGGGCCGTCTTGGGGCGGTCTTGGGGGCCTCTTGGGCCGTCGTCAACGCCGTGAAAGCCGAAAAGCCGCATATGCTGAAATATACGCTTCCCGTTGGAAAATCAATGATTTTGGCCTCTTGGGGCCCTCTTGAGGCCTCTTGGGCCGTCTGGGGCGGTCTTGGGCTCTCTTGGAGCGCTCTTGGGTCGTCTTGGGGGGGAACCCGAAAAACATGCAAAAACCCTAGGGAGAACCCGAAAACAGCCATTAGAGCCCATTCCCCCCCCTTCGCCCCCCCCCCTGGACCCCCCCCCTTAAGGGGCTTCGCCCAAAACACAACGTCATCACTCGTACCTCGCTCTTTCCGTTACCTGGGCCGGCACAGGAACGGAAAGAGCGGACCAGAAACTTGCCCGAGATGGCTCACGGCACCCTTCGCTATTGGGAGCCTTGGTGGCAAGAGCTTGTTACGTCACCGCTCGCTCTTGGGAGCCTTGGTGTTCAGAGACTTTTACGTTGCCGCTCGCTCTTGGGGGCCTTGTTGTTGAGAGTTGTTTTCGTCACCGTTCGCTCTTGTGAGCCTTGGTGTCACGAGTTTGTCACGTCACCGTTCGCTCGTGGGAGCCTTGGAGTGAAGAGCTTTTTGCGTTACCAATCGCTTTTATTTGGCGTCTCTAGGCCTTCTTGGGGGGCTTTTTGGGGCCCCTTGGACTGTCTTGGGGCCCTTTTAAGCCGTCTGGGGGCGTCTTAGAAGCCTTGGGCCGTCTTGGGGCTCTCTCGGTGGCTTGCGGGAGCCCTCTTGGGAGCCTCTTGGGGCGCCCTTGGAGCCCTCTTGGGGCGTCCTGGGGCCATCTTGGGCCCCTCCTGGGCCGTCTTGGGCCCGTCTTGGCCCGTCTTGGGGCGCTCCTGGTGCCCTCTTGGGCTTGGGCCGTCTAGGTGCGATGTTGGGGGTCTCTTGGGCTGTCTTGAACCCTGTGAGAGCCGACAAAGCTAATATGCTAAACATGTAAATTTTCCTATAGGAGTCTGGCCCAGTCCCTACACCCAAGCATCCCAGACCCATACCGCCTCTTCGGGCCCGCTTGGGAACCTATTAGGGACCTCTTGGGGCTCTCTTGGGGCCGTCTGGGTGCCCTCTTGGGCCGCCTTGGGGCCCTCTTGGGCCGTCTGGGGGCCCTCTTGGACCGTTGTCGGCCCCTTGGGGGGGCCGCTGGGGCCGTCTTGGGACGATCTTTGGGCCTCTTGGGCCGTCTTGGGCCCGTCTGGGGGCCCTCTTGGACCCTTTTGGGCCCCTGTGGGGCGCCTCTGGGGCCGTCTTGGGACGATCTTTGGGGCCTGTTGGGCCATCAGGGGCCCTTCTGCGACCGAAAAGGGGGGAACCCAGAAAACCTACAAAAAACACTAGGGATATCAAGGTTTCTGGCCTCATGAGGCCTCTGGAGCCGTCTCGAGGCTCTCTTGGACCGTCTGGAGGCCATCTGAATATCTCAAGGGGCAGTCTTGGGGCCCTCTGAGGCCGTCTTGAGGCCGTCTGGGGCCGTTTGGGGGCCATCTGGCCAGATCACCTGGGCCGGCACGGGAACGGAAAGCGCGGGCCAGAAACTTGCCCGAGATGGCTCACGGCACCCTTCGCTCTTGGGAGCCTTGGTGGTGGGAGCTTGTTACGGGGGGCGGCGGCGATTCGCCGCAGGCGTCGTCGATCTGCCGACCCCAGTTGGCCTGCAGCAGGGGTGCACGGCCTGCCAGACTTGTAAGAGGCTCTGGCGTGCTTGAGGTTCCCAGCGGCGTCCCGGCCGATCGCGCCGGGTACCTGGAGAGGCGCGCGCAAAGTCAAAAAACAGGTCCCCAGGACAACCAGGATGGCCCAAGATGGCCTCCAAGACTGCCAAGATAGGCTCCACCCAGACGCACCAAGAAGGCTCCAAGAGGACCTCCAGGAGGCCAGAATCACTGATTTTACAAAAAGACTGTTCAAAGATCTTGGCGTTCTCGCTTTTTCGGGCGCCTGACTCTCCAAGGCGGCCACGTGAGCCCCAAAGATCGCCCCTAAGAGCGTCCAAGAGACCTCCAAAGGGCCGCAAGACGGCCCCATAGACCTCCAAGACGGCCCTAAAGCGCGCAGAGAGTGCCCCAAGACAGCCTCCGAAGGCCCAGAGGTCCCCTCGAGGCCCCTAGGGGCCCCCAATAGGCCCCCAAGAGACCTTCAAGAGGCCCCAGGAGGCTCCCTAAGATTCCCCTTCAGAGGCCCCCGAAAACTTCCAGGAAGCCCCCAGGAAGGCCCAAGAGGACCTCAAGAGGCCCCCTCCTCCTCCTCCTCCTCCTCCTCCTCCTCCTCCTCCTCCTCCTCCTCCTCCTCCTCCTCCTCCTCCTCCTCCTCCTTCTCCTCCCTCTTCTCCTCCTTACTCTTCCTCTCCCATATGGTCCCCCCCAGGGGGTCCGCAACGGCTGGGGGAACACAGATTACAACTGGTTCGCCAGACTTCGGCCCAACGTTTGGCCGCATGGGCATTTCCGACAAGCGGGGGGCGGCGGTGTTTCGCCGTAGGCATCTTCGATCTGCCGCCCCAGTTGCTTGTCAATGGGGTGCATGGAGTGCTGGAGTTGTTACTTGGTTGAACCCTGCAAAAGGGTTCACTAAGGCCTTCGGCGCATCCCTCCAGCCATACAGGAAAAAACCCTGCGCCCCACAACGAAGTGTCTTCCGCCACCAAGGCGCCCAAGATTGTCCCAAGATAACTTCCAAAACGCCCCAAGACGTTCCAGGATGGCCTACACGACGGCGCAATACGCCTCCAAGACAGCCAAGATTGCCTCTAAGTCGGTCCAATATGACTCCAAGACGGCCCAAGAGACCCCCAAGACGCACCAAAAGGCCCCCAAGACGCCCCAAGAGGGCTCCCGGAGGACCCCCAGGAAGCCCAGCTCACTTATCCCCCGTGGGCGGTTCCATAGTGCCCGCATTCTCTCGTGTTCTAGCTTCCGGCGTCCGAATTCTGCCCCAGAGACCTCCAAGTTGGCCCCGAGACGGCACCAGAAGCCCCCAAGGTCGCCCCAAGACTGCCCAAGAGGACCCCGCCACTGGGGCCTTCGGTGGAGCTCCTCATGGGGCCACGAACCGTGTGAGGGTTGTGCCGAAATGGGGCGGCAGTGCCATGCGGACCCTGCCGCTGGGGCCTTCGGTGGAGCCACCTATGGGGCCACGAACCGTGTGAGGGGTGTGCCGAAATGGGGCGGCGGTGCCATGCGGACCCTGCCGCTGGGGCCTTCGGTGGAGGGCCCCCAGAAGGCCCCACATACCCCCAAGGCGGCCCTAAAGCGCCCAAAGAAGGCCCCGAGACGGCTCCGAGGGCCAAGAGCTCCCCTCGGGGCCTGCAGAGCCCCCCAAGAGGCCAACAAGAGGCCACCAAGAGGCCGTCTCCTTTTCCTGCTGTTCACCCTTTTTCTCCCTCTCCTCCTCTTCCTCCTCCTCCTCCTGTCTTTTCTTTCCAGGAGCAGTCCCCCAAGAATCTCCACAACGGCTGGGGGAACACGTAGACCAATAGCCTGACAAGACGTCGGCCCAACGTTTGGCCACACAGGCGTTTCCAAAGCGCAGGACAGGTGACGGCGGTGGGTCGCCATGGGCGTCTTCGATAACAGCTCGCTGTTGGTAATACAACACGCACTGGACATGCTCAGATCACTGCTTCCTCTCCTTGTAGCAACATGCAATGCCCGATTCTGGTTCTCGAGGACCTAGCCTAGGGCTCCACGAAGTCATCAGGTCCGCCACCAGGGCCACTCGCAGGGAAGCTTGGAATCTGGAACTGCCCTGGCAACAATCGATCCTGTGCAGCAATCCGCGCTTTCTCGTTGCCGCTCTTGGTCGCGGTGATGAACTGCACCGTGCTCCCACCACGCCGAGCAATACGGACAGACCACGCCAAGAATACACGCCACCGTCGCCAAGAACGCTCACCGTAGACCTTCACGATTGAATCCTTTTTGGATTCCCAGAGCCTCTGCCAGTGGTGCAGGGTCTTCGAGTAATGAGCGCCGAGGTTGTGGACGCTCTGGACCTCGAAGCCTGCCTGCTCGAGGTGGGTAACGACCCACCCCATCGGGCAAGAAGCATCTGCTCCGGGAAAGACATGCTCGTCCATGAACATGCCCCAGACAAGGTCTTCATAGTGGTTGTAGCCTTTCGCGTAACCTCGCGGGAGGCCAGCGACCTGGAGGTAGAACGTGCCGTCGTCCGCAAGGAGGTCGTGCACCTTTGTCAGGAACTTGTTGTAGTTCCTGATGCCCACGTGCTCGGCCATCTCCACAGAGGAGATGACGTTGAAGGTCTTGGGGGCGATGTCAAGATCGAAGAAATTCTGCAGAAGAATGTTGACCTTGCCATCGTGTCCGACCTTCTTGGTCATCCTGTCAGCGTAAGCCTTCTGGTCACTGGCCATCAAGACGCCTGTGACGTCCGCGCCCTTGCTGGCCAAGTGGTTGGACAGCCGCCCCCAGCCAGCACCAATATCCATTGCCTTGTCCCCTGGCTTCACGCCCAAGGCGTGAGCGATGAAGTCGAGCTTCTTGAGCTGGGCGCTCCACATGGTCTCGTTGGGGCCCGTGTAGATGGCCCCGGTGTACACCATCGGCTCGCCGAGTGTGGCTTCGAACCAGTCGTCACCCTTGTTGTAGGCTTCTGGAAGATACTCCGCATCCTGCCCAGTCCCATGAAACACCGAGCCTGCCAGCCAAGTCTTGAAATAGCGGCCCAACTCGATCTTGCCGAAAACCGGTGGATATTGACGGCCCTCAAGAATATGCATGAGATCCCCAGTTCCATCATTGATGTAGTTTTCCAGCGCCTCGCGCAAAGTAGGACCACTCATGTCGTAGCCCTCTGCTTTGGCCAAGGCGTTCGACTCGAAAAGAACAAAGCTGGCAAGGACGGCCAAAATGATAATGGGGGAGATGATGACCACCCAACGCACCTTCTTGTTCACGGAGCACGCCGCTATCACGAAGACGGCGAGCAAATGCGGAAACCTCTCAGATATAAAGATCACTATCTCAAAAATAGGCAGGCGCATCTGAATATCATCCGTCAT